TACTCTTTAATGTGGCTACTAGAAAATTTTAAATTGCATACATGGCTGGCATTATATTTCTATTGGATAGCGCTGATCTGAAGGCTCAAAAAAATGTAATTGAATTCAAACTGAACAAATGTAAATATTATTTTTATCAAAATTTAAATTAAATGAAAACAACAAAAATTAAAATTATTTCCATGTATATTTTCAAGAGTTCTTTTTCTAAAACATTCAAAATTTCTATTAAAAATAAAAGGGACTATGCAACTACTGAATATCGAAGTTTTAAATCAAAATGATATAAATGAACCTGAAAGCCTTAATTCACTTCTGAGAAGATTTTGTTAAATCTTATAAACCACTGTTATAAAATAAAATTACTGACAATTCTAGTAGTCAATATAAAGAATTGGCATTACGCTTCACAGGTATTACATTTAGACCAACACATACACACTTTAAAGAATATTATGAATTGTTTAATATATGAAAATATATCTCAGCTGTTGTGCAACTGTTGGAAATATGATGCCAATTCCAGGTGACCTCCAGGACCCTGAAGCACACACAGAGACACAACAGACACTCAGCACTACCAGGTCCTCTATCTGAGCAGATGACTGGATAAGCTGAATGAATCATCATGTCTCTCACCTAAGTGCTTCCAGACCTCAAATCCTCCCCATGCTCCAGGGTTACCAGCAACACAACCCACCAACCGTCACAGAATTAAGACTCAGTTACCTTTTGTTTGAGGACACAGAGCAAGAGAATGGGAAACACATTCTTTGTGGCCTAAATGGCATTAGTCACAAAAGTAGATAGCGTTACCAGTCACGTTCTGCCAGTGCTAAAAGCTAGATCCCAAGTGAATGGGGCTCCCATGTATCCTTGGTAGTTTTAAATTTACATACAATAAAATTCACTTTTCTTGGTTTTACTGACAAATGCAGGTAACTGTGCAACCATCACCATGAGCAAGATAAAGAACAGTTCCAGCACCTCCCAAAATTCTTACCAGGGTTTGGTATTGTTGAGTTTTTATTTGCTTTTAGCCATTTTAATAGGTGTACAGCAGTTATCTCAATGTTTGTGTGCATGTTTGTGTTATGTGGGGACCTCCAAAAAAGCAGCTCAGGGCAAGGGCTCCTGTTTTCAGGGTCTGTGGGTGATAATGTCAAGCATAGTCAACAAATTGCCCTCTTTGGCTTGGTGACTTAATCAGGAAAATGCCTTGGTGGGCTTTTTTTTTTTATTTTTTATTTTTACTGGGGAACAGCCATGGTCATTGGCTACACATTGCTTTCATGCTATAATGGCATAGTTGACTCTTTTAAGGAGGGTGCAGCTCACAGTGGCCCATGCGGGGATCGAACCGGCAATGTTGGTGTTATCAGCACCACGCTCTAACCAACTGAGCTAACTGGTCACCCCTTAGTGGGCTATTTTGATGAGAAAGGGAGACCTCTAGGCTTAGCCTGCTTGGGAGGTGGAGACTAAGAGGGAGCTGACCTGCTCCACATTGTCATAAGGGAAGAAGAATCCAGAGCCTCTTGAGGGTCTCAGCTCTGGAGAAGAGTGTGAGAGGCCAAGAATGGAGGTAAAGGAAGGCTGTGATGATTGTACAGAGAGGAGCTTTGTGAACATGGCAGGTACAGGGACAGAAGTCTCTGGAGGAAGGCATCCCTGGGGATGGGGCCCAGCCAATAATTTTTCTAAGAATAGGGAGGTTAGACATCGAATTTGGAGTTGTCTCCTACCCTCTGTCACGCACAATGGCGTTGGGTGGGTGGTGCTTTGGTGGAAGAACAGAAGAGGGTGGTGGCAAGCTGGGGTTGAGATTGAAAGAGTGAGAGGCCAGAGGGTGCCCTCAAGAGTAGAGAGAGGCATGAAGACTACAGTGGAACAGACTCAGGAGAAATGAGAGCCATCCTGCCTGCACCTCTCCCAGAGAACAGTCCTTCAAGATGCTGCAGACAGCTCTGGGCTTCCTGCAGAACACGGGCCTTGGTCTATTTGCTTTGTTTTTTGTAATATGAAAGAAGAGAGACCTCTAGGGGTGCAGAGGACTTACAGCCACCAGGCTATAAATGTCTGCCACAGAGATGTGGCCTCAGCTCTCTGGGTTCCATCTGGAAGGGCATCCTCTCACCGGGGCTCTAGCTGGACTCAGCATCCACATAATCTCAGGTGTCCACAGAGGACTGGAAACCCCTGGATCTTTTGGACCCAGAAATGTCATGTATTAGTCAAATCTCATGTATTAGTTTCCTGTTGCCGCTGTACCAAGTTACTCTAAACTTAGTGGCTCAAAACAACACATTTGTTATCTTACAGTTCTGTAGGTCAGAAGTCTGACATGCGTCTCACTGGGCTCAAATCAAGGTGGTGGCAGGACTGCATTCCTTCTGCAGGTTCATGGGGAGAATCCATTTACTTTCCTTTTGCAGCTTCTAGAGGCTGTTCTTTGGCTCGTGGCCCCTTTCTCCATCTTCAAAACCAGCAACAGGGAGCTGAGTCCTTCTCACGCTGCATCACTCCAACCTCCTCTTTGGCCTCTCCCCCAAGAGCCTGGGATTACATTGGGCCCACCTGGATGATCCAAGATACTCTATTTTAAGGTGAGATAATTAGCAACCTTAATTCCATCTGCAACCTTAATTCCCCTTCGCCTGGTAACACATATTCACAGGTCCTGGGGATGAGGACGTACAATAGACATCTTTCGAGGGGGACTGCATTCTGCCACTGGGCCTAAGTGGGATCCTGGTCCAGAGAAGATGGGACGAAGAGCAGTGTCTACCTATATCTGAAAATGAGAAAAGGAGAGGGAGATTCGGGGGCAAAGGAGTTTGCTAATGAAAATCACATGAGTCAGAGGAGCGGCGTTGGTAGGGAGACAACGAGGTCAAATGCTGCCACAGGTTAAGTTCCTGAGAAGCTACAATGAAAATAACAGCCGTTTCTGCAGGTCATTCTTCACCCGCACTAGTGCAGCTTGCGGCTGCAGAGTCCTGGCGGACTATCCTTGGCATCTGGAATAGCTGGAGACACCTCCGAGCCTTTGGTTACCGTCCCTGTAGAATGGTGTGTGTGTCACGTCCACACAAGGCAGCTCTTGGGTCGTCTACCCACAGCCTGAGTTCTGCCCTTAGAGTTATGCGAGAACGCGATTGTTTCTGTCACAGGCCACCCCTTCAGCTACGAGAAGACAGATCAGGTGTTTCCTGCCACCACCACTGCTCTATTCTAATAATCTTCCAGGGCTTCTACAACCCCTCATAATTAACGCTGTGGTTTTCCACCCTTCCCCATCCTCATCACCCTCTTTTGGGCACACTTTAATGTGTGATGGATGGGTAGCGTATGGGACGTGGGGAGGGGGTTGACCACATTTTGGATCTACTCTAATGGAGCTGATAATCCAGCAACCCATCTAATTCTTTTTTTGGCTTTATTTACTTGAACACTGTCTCCCTCTCTTATCAATCATCTTTCTCAGATGCCTTTAGATATTTGATTTCTGCCCCCGGCTGAACCTACATCTTCAGGGGACCCTTCTTGCCGCCTTAGCCCTTGAGTTGGGCTGGGGTTGGGGCTGGGCTCCCAGCTAGACAGAAACCTTCCTTCAGTCTTTGGCAGTTCCAGCAGCTCGGACTTCTTTAGTTCTTGGAGTCATTGCAGAGGGGCCTGTGACCCTACTGCTCTGATTCCAGCACTTGACAGCAGGGACATGTGGTCCCTGACATTGAGACCACTTTGTACACTCAGATCCTGAGTCTCTGTCTTGTGAATATTCTTTGCACCATGAAACCAGTAAAACCTAAGTCTTTGATCAATTTCACAATGAAAAAGACTAGTAGAAATAACCACTCTAAATAAAACTGGCAGGAGCTAAATAAGAAAATTATGAGAAAGATCTTTGGTTTGCTGAATACAAAGTTACAGAGGACAATATAATGACCCAACATAAAAAGGCCTCGTTAAGCGGAGGATGCAGGGAGATGGGTGACCCCCTCCCCACTCCCCCCAATCCTTCACATATTACAGTAAACCCCAAAGCGGGTGACGAGCATGGGGAAGGGTGGAAAACCATGTCATTCTTTATAAGGAACTGTGGGGAGTCCTGGAAAAGACTTTAATAGAAAATGAGCGAAAACTGACAGGACTATGTCACTCAACATTAAAAAGGAGGGCCACAGTAGTAGGGCTTAGGTGGGGGGTGAGGGTGGGGGGATCCTGGAGCGAAAAAGGCTGGAGCCGGAGAGGCGGGAGGTTGAAAGAAGGAACTGCCCAGAAGACAGATCTGGGAATGACTGTTGAACTGGGAATATTTTTGGCATCCTAATAACATCTAGCATTTTAAAAAATGTTTAGCAAGTGCCAGGCACTAAGTACTTTCCATACTGTACGTCATTTAACCTTCATAACAACGTAAGCGGATGACATTATGATTATTTTCCCCACTGAAGCCCAGGAGCGTTGGACACAGGCCCCGCAGGAAGTGACACTGCAAGTGACCCAAGCTCACAGTCTCCCTTGGGGACATTTCATTGATTGCCCTGCATGATGTGGCATCCATTCCATCCACCCCTCAGAGATGGCTCCACAAACTCCCAGAAAAGACTGGAAGGGAGAGCTCTTCTCCAGGCCAGGTGCCCCCTACCCCCCCCCCCACAGGCTCTGCGCCAGTGCACAAACCCCCCTGTTCCAAATGTTCCAGGACAGGGCCCGGGCAGGGCCTGCAGACACCTGGCCTCGTCCATCCCAAAAAAACAAAGCAGGGAAATCCCCCTGCCTGTCCCCCTCCCCCCTCGGCGGCCACATGTCCTGCCTCTGTGGCTGGGCCAGGAACAAGTGTGTGGGCTCTAGGTACAAGACTCGCAAAGTCAAGGGTTTCAGGTCACACTGGCAAATCATTTATAAGCAGACGCCATGGGTCTCATCTCAGACTGGGCGGCACACAAGGTCAGCGTCAGCAGATCTGACCCTAAAAATAGGCTCTTAGATGCCAGCCTGGGTGGCCGGGTGTGAGGCGCCACACGCCCTGTGGACCAGCACCTCCTGACTCAGCCAGGCCCCAGCACGCACAGGTAAGGCCCTTGGATGGTGAGGCTGGCACCTCTTGGGTCCAGCCAAAGATTCTTTGGGGGCCTGGGTGTAGTGATTAGAAACCCCCTTTCCACCCTGTTTCTGGAAAGACATAGAACAGCTGACATCCTTGTAGTGTGAAAGGTTTCTTGTTGCCCGTCTTTCTCTAGAGACTGTGGAATTTTCTCCACTTCCCTCCCTCCAAATCTGAGCTTCACGTTCAGTGACCGTTTCTAAAGGATAACAGGGCAGGTTCAAGCTCAGCAGGCCCTTCTGAGGCACTGGATGCTTTGTATCACATCCCAGCAAGGTCTACATTTGTCCACTTAGCCAGTGGAAGGGAAAAAAATCTCAATGGGAGTAGGGGAGAGAGACACCAGAGTGACTCATATCCTGTGTAGAGGGACACACATCACAAATAACTACTCCATCCCCACCCAGGGGAACCCTTCCTGGTGTCCTGGGTGACACTGAGCATCATTTGGATGGAGGGACAATTTTTGAAGCTTTTCCCAGTTCTGGTTGGCAGGATGGGGTGGGGATGTAGCCCTGGTAAATATGGGGAGACTGGGTCACGGACAGACAGAGCCATGGACCGAGCAGCAGCGCATGTGTAGGTCGGAAGGTGGGGAGGTGTCCTGCATCTCAGACCAGGGCTCTCCCATTAGACCCAGGTGCCCTTGTCCTGTGCCCCAGTGGCGCCTCGTGGGCCTGGCACCCAAGAGCTGCTGGGAGTGGGAGGCTCTTAATGTTCAGGAAAGCTGAAAATATTCCAAGGGAAACACTCTGAGTCAGAAGGGAGGGGGCATGTGGATGTGGGAGAGGCCTCCTCACTTACGGCCCCTACACCTGAGGGTCCTGGTACTAGGAGCTTCTTCTATGGCCCTGATTGTTCCCTTGTGCCCCCTCCTTGTTCTCTTCGTGACAAAATCATTTGGATCTGCCAAATGACATTTATCAACAACACTTGAAGGGCTGCTGAGCTGAGTCCCATACAAGGAAAGAGTGTTGGGCATGGGGAGGGGAGGGGGGTGTGGGAGAGTGTCTGAGGAGTTACGGGGAGGGCAGTAGGCCCGGAAGCCTCTTTGGGGGCCTGGGCCTAGACATTCACTCCAGGTCCTGGTGCCAGAGGTCATAGCTCCATGTGTCCTCTTCAGCCTGACTCCAGAGCAGATGGCGTTTGAATTTTCACTTCCAGTGACCCTTGATGGTTCTGGGCTCATCACTTCCACAGTATATAAGAGGACAAGTCTTATGGCCGCCTGGCACCACCAGCATATATTAACAGGCTGGTGGAAGGAGGTCTTTCTGCTCCTCCCAAAGCCTCGCTTGTACTTCATACTGGAGCCACTAAGCCCCATGACCCGCAGGAGAGTGTTCAGGCTTATGCCCCGTCCAATTTGCCACAACTACCCTACAGAGATCCTCAACCCTGGCCAATGGGCCCTGCTCCCGCTTGCCTACTCTTGGCCTAGAACTTAGCTCCCAACACAGCTGGGAATGCTCCACCCACCCTTCCCCCTGTCTCTTGGTTGCCCCTTCACGAAACATTCTCTGAGCCCACGCCGCTGTGCCAAGAACTTATACTACCTCATTTAATCCAACAACCATGGAGGTAGCCAATATCCCCATTTATAGAGGAAGCTGAAGCCCACGTATGTGAGACTCCGAGGCCAGTGAGAGTTCTTTCCACAACTTCACACCACTCTGTGCCTCACACTGGACAGGGAGACGTACAAAATCGAAAGGCCCAGGCCTGCCCTCAGGAGCATATATTTTGTGACCAAGAATAGAGTGACCTATTACTGACATGGGTTGGCTGCCTGGGCTGAGTCCCAGCCTCAGCACTTACTAGCTTGGTGTGATGTTACTAACCTCTCTGACCCTCGTTTTTTTCATCTGTAAAGTGGGGGCAGCTATTCCCTGTCTAGGGGGTTGTAAGAGTAGATAATCACCGGGCACACAGTGAAAGTAACCAACCATAATCATTTCTCTGTGTCCCGTCAGGGCCTTGATTTATTAGTGAGCTTTTGTGGCAGCTTTAAGAGGTGGGCGCTTGGCCCCCAGCTTTCCCAAGGCCCAGAGCCTCCTCTGTGCAGCATCAAGAGACAGGCCTAGTGAGGAATAGCGGCCTGCACTGGAAATGGAGGGGTGGCGGGCCCATAGTGAGGGCCACACCGCCACGTTCTACCCTCCTTCCCCTTCCCCTGAACAAAGAAGCCTCATGTTCTGAGGTGATGCACAGCGGGAAATGGTTCTTGAAAGACATGAGCTAAAAGGCCATCTATGCCTGAATTCACGAGCTGTGAAACTGCCTGCAGTGTTCCCACACATCTTCAGAGGAAGCAAAGGCCCAGCTGCGCAGGGGTCAGGAACCACAACTGGCTTGGTCAGACGTCATAGACTCTTGGCTCCTGTGCCAGAACCTCCTCTCCCCCACCGGGGCCTGGGCCACAGAGGTGAAATCCATCCCGGCCGGCCCCCTTGTCTGAGAAGGAAGCTGAGTGTGGGCCTCCAGCCTCCTCACCGTTTCCGGGAGGCCCAACTCTGCCAAACCAAGATTGGGGAAATCAATTAGGAGTTCATAAATTACCACCCCGAAGCACTTTGAAACCATTTGAAGAGTTAATCAAACAAGTTAATGACATCAACACCATCGTAGAAGGAATATTAAATTACCTCTTTAAATGAAGGCTTTTGTTTTTTTAATAAAAGAAGTTTATATTAATTCACATAATTGCCTCCTGTTAATGTACTTGCCAGAATCCATGAGAAGAAAAAAAAAATCTGTTAAACTTGGATTATGTCTGATACATTAGGAATTAAATTATAGGCAACAAAAAATTCCTGGGTTTTCATATCCAAGTTTTAATTTTTAAAAAATCCACAACTTTTATTTCCTGGCTGGGATCCTTTTTGTAGATTTAAGAGGCATAAAGACAAGCCCTGGCTTGTAGTAAATTAAAAATATGTATATTTATATATGTGCTCTGCTGCCAAATCCTGTCCCTCCACATACATACCCCAGCAGTAGGTATTACTCTCCTAACGGAGTACTTTACCCAACCACAATAACATTTTTAGCCTCCCCCTTCTTTCAAGGGACATTCCAAGCCCACCTTGGGTGGTGTCCTGGAAGAAACGTGGTGTGCATGCATTTAAACACAGACTAACTTTCCCCCAGGACCCCAAAGCATCAAGAATGTAAATATGCAATGGACACATATGCACAGATACAGAATATCGTCAAAGGGAGAGGAAAAATTTTTTTAAATTAGATTATAAACTATTCTACCAGAGCAAAAACTTCTAGAAGGCAGGGGCCTCTCTGACCCAGCCCATCTCTAGCTCCTCACAGAGGAATGTGTGAATAGAGCTAGCACTGGCCTCTTCCAAGGCCCTGCACCCATTTGCTTTTCTTCCTCTTAAAGATATGGTGTAAACTTCAGGACCCACAAAACTTGATTCTCCTCTGGTTTCCTGGGAAGCACTGAGGGACTAGAATGACCTATGCGTGGCTGCTGCCACCAGAGGCCTCAAGGATGCATCTTGGCCTTTAGGGAGCTCACAGTCATTGGGAGGGTGCTCAGTGCCACACAAGATGCAAGGAACACCTGGGCAGGCCTTGTCCTCAAGGCCACCCTCTTGTTTAGGGGGTGCGTCTACTAAGCCCAGAACAATTCTAAAATAAAACAGTCACAGGTTTTGTTACTCCTCCATAGACTCACATTATACCTGTCTACCACACAATTTTAGAAAAGATGGTTCCTTAAAAGGAAGAAGAAAAATCACATACAATTTCATCATCCTAAAATAAGGCCATAGTCAGTGTTACTATTTTGGTGAAACGTATTTTTGTGTAAGAACAGAATCATACTGTGCATGCTGCTTTGTAAACTTCTGGTTTCTTCTCTCCATCGGCACGAGCCTCTTTCCCTTTGATTTCTCAAAGTCACCACAAACACGGCTGTCTGTCATGTCTAACAGTGTCACCCAAGGTTTAGGGTGACAGAACTGACATGCAGTGGGGCGCTGCAAAGCTGAGCCTTGGGAATCTCTGTTCTTAGTCCTGTGGCTGTGTCCCCTGGGTGCTCCTCTCTGGGCTGTCTTTGGCCCCAAGCTCTCCCACCCTGCAGCAGGGACCCTCACACCCTCTCTGGGGACGTCCTAGAAGGCTCAGAACTCCCCTGGCTTTCATGGACAGAACAATTTAGCTCTCTGTCTTTCATTCCACCACTTTCTGAGTCATGCTTCAGGACTTACCTTTTTCTTATCAAAAGGATCCTCAAATGACATTTCTTACTAAGCAGGAGGCTTGTTCTGTGGCTTGCATTCCTGGACACGGCTACCTGGACAGTCTCGACAGGCTCCAGGGGTCCACTTAGAGATTTAACTGTCGCACTGAAATAAATGATGCATCTCTTGACCCGGCTTCTCCCATCCTCCACCTTAGAAAGTGAAACAGTTCAGGTTGGGTTTTTTGTTTGTCTGTTCTAAAAAGCATCTTTATCTCTCTTGTTACAGCTCTGTTTTATCAAAAGGGAAAGTGATGCTCAGGGAGGATGAGACGTATAGACCTGTGAGTCCTCAGCGATGGCTGGGGCCGTGAGAACACAGAAGCCATGAGACAGTGACCGGAGAAAGAGAGGGCCAGAGAGGTAGAGGAGCCCCAGGAAAGTGCCAGGTCCCAGGAGCAAGTAACACAGAGTTAAAACCACAAATCAGGAGTTACAAGCAGTTTCCTGCCCAGACTGGTCTGTTTGGCTAGCACAGTTAAAAAAGACATGGTTATTCATTTAAAATATATTTATCAAAAGAATCCTAAAATAGAAAACAGGAAAAGAAATCTCTCTGAGTCCTGATACTTGCCCACAGTATTGACATTTTGATGTTTTTTTCCTAATTAAAAAAAAATAAGAAAATTATATAAGTTTTTTATTTTTTTAATATGGAATCAAATCATGGTGTCAAAATTGTAGTTTTGAATTCAGATCAAAGCTTTTTCTCACTGGGTAAGGAAAACCTTTAACCAAATGCAAGCTGTACCATGGAAAATTCTGAAACGGAGTCAGAATTCAGGAAGGGTCCCTGTGTTGATCATTCCTGGAAATAGCTGCTCAAAGGAAAGGCCACTGCCTCACAGAGGGCAATGGCACTCCAGGCCTTCGTGGTCAAGTACCACTTGGCCTCTGTGTTCTCTGTTGTCACAGTATCTTTAAATGTTTTTAAAATAGCAGTATGTTACTTTAGATCCCTTCAAAGGCATCCTTGGGACCAAGGTTTGGGTGCAAGTTGTTTTTTTGCAAGGTGCTCCAGGAAGCACTGTGTGGAGTGGACAAGTGAGGCTGGAAGGGAAGAGAGCCAACAGGGGACATGTGAGTGAGCAGGCTGCCACTCTGGGCAGCTGGGGTTGGAGCACACAGCAAGCCTCCAGGAGACTGCAGGACAGACTCCAAAATGGTCACACTCAGGGTGGAAGAAACTGGGGTATTTGTCCACCAACTCCTGCCCCTCATTCGCCAACGACTTCTGGAGTTAACACCCCCTACTTCAGGTCTGCCCAGTGCAAATACAGGACAATACCCTCCAGCAGGGAACTACAGGGGCTTGAGAAAGGAAACCTTTTGTGCATAAGGGCATTGTCCATTTGTACTGCAGAGATCCGCGCCAAGGAATGAGACAGGGCAAGGAGAGCATCTGCTACAGCTGCCTACACTTAAAAACCGGCAGGTTTCATACGAAACGCTGGCTTTCTGACTTCTCATAAGGAACACAGAAAATCTGGGCTTGCATTCTCCCACGGAATGGCAAGCAGCCTTCCCTCTTCAGGGGGGCACTTGCTCTCTCGTCTGTCACAGTCCCCGCCACTCCCCAATGGCTCCTGCCTGTGTCCAACAGTTAGGTTTCTGTTTGTTTATTCTTTAACACCCAGCCCATGTTCCTCCTTTCCGTAACCTGCCTGGCCCCTCTGGGAAGGAGCCTGAGTTTGCTATCCTTTGAGGAAGAGACAGGCCGATGCCACACATAGGCCAAGTAGCTTGCAAGTTGGCATTTGGCTTCCTGGGACCAAACCTTTAAATATGAAGCTGTAACAGGAACCTGGAGGCCTCTCTTGACAACCTGCCCAGCTCTCATTATGACATTTAGCCTGTGATTGATATTGTGTGTGTCATTGAGACCTTGGCAGTTAATCTCTGGGTCGAATCTATGGAAACCAAACAGAACAGATTTGTCTTCCCCTTCCATTTTGGCTGTGATCTGGGAAACAGACGCTCCTGGCCTCTCGGAGATTCAGAGATTTGGGAGCCTTGCAGAGAGGGATGCACACAAGCCGCCTTCAGGATTTGGAAAGATTACAGGTCTGTGGTTTCTGGCCGGCTCTGCGCTTTGTTCTCTTCCCCCATCAAATCTGCACGTTGGAGGATAATAGATCCCAGAGCTCCTCCGCATGCCAAGCCGCTCTGGGTAGACCACACCACTTCCTCTTCTGTCTGGAAATCCAGCCGAGGCTTTCAGCACGGAGCTGGGGATGGGGATGGCTTCTTCCACAGCATAATAAAGGAGGAACAGCCTCGGCAAGGGTGAAGTCAGCTGCAGTGATCAAAGGAGGCAGCAGGGGTTTTAGAATGTAGTTTACTTCAGTTATCTCCCTGAAATCACCTCTTCTGAAGTCTCCTGTAGAGGCAAGCAGGGTTCAAAATGGCCTGCGCCTCCAAATGTAGGGAGATGGTGCCCAGCTTCTACTCACTGTGCAACAAGAAGAATTGGCGCCATGCACGGGCTGAGCTGCAGACCTCTCAAAAGTAAGGCGCCTGCGGGCCTAAAGCAAGGAGAGCCGCCACTACACTCATAGAAGACTGAGGTGTCTGTGCTGGTTCCCACCACAGAAGTTGCTGGCCAGCCCTTGAAACCCTCTTTCCTTGCTGACTGGAAATGCCTCAGCAGCTCTGCCTGAGTCCCCAGCACAGGCCTCACGGTCCTTTATACATCTACCCGCTCAGTCATTCATTCGGTCATCCCATTCATTCATCAAGCCATTCCCTCATTGAACAAATACTTTCTGAGCACCTCCCCCATGTCAGACACTGAGGCTACAGAGATAAATGCCACTAAGGAGCCATCTTCAAGGAGCCCGGAGTAAGACCGTCCAGAGACCCTCACTCCTCTTAGTCCTGCACCCTTATTCTGGGCTGAAGACCTGGCCTCCACTTCAGTGAGAAGGTGGAAAGCATACCGAGCACCCTTACTACCCTTCTCTTGATGCAACAGCTCTTTGATTCTTTAGCCACACTCTTGGGCAATTATTATCAAACTTTGGTGAGCATAGACTCACTCACTTGGAAGCTTGGTCAAATACAGACTCCTAGGCCCCTACCCCCAGTCCAGGGTGCAACCCAGGAAGCTGTAGTTTTAGCAAGTGCCAGATGATTCTGAGGGAGGTGGTCTTTATATCATACTTTGACAGACTCCAAAGTAGGGTCCCCTCTGCTGCCCACTGCCCCCACACCCCAACTCGGGATTTTGCACAGAAAATCACAGATCCTGGCTTCCCACAATCCCCAAAGACACACACTGCTATCTACTTTAATTCATCTACCATGATCTTGGGTAAATCAAATGTCCCAGAGCAGTGGTTTCAACTCTTTCCTTTCCTTTTTAAACTTTCTTCTTATGAAAAATGGCAAACACACACAAAGAAAAACAGTAACTACCTTGCAACCATCATCCAACTCCAACCACCAACATCCCTGGCCAATCCTGCCCCATCACACCTCCACCTATTCTTTCCACCCTCACACACAATGTATAATATTATATGTTTCCAACTATATTATTTTTGAAGCCAATCTCAGACATTATATCATTTCATCTGTGAGTATTTCATTTGTATTTCTGTAAGACAAGACCCTGTGGTATAATTTAACTGTCCTCTGAATCTCCTGGAAATTGGATGTTAGATCCAGACTCTGAGGATTTGATCAAAGATTCAGGTTTTCCTTTGGCGAGACTACTTTCGTGATGGTGGTGTGTTCTTGCGTTGGAAGGCCCATATGTCTGAACAGGTCTTCTTAGGTTGCTAGCAGTCAGCGTTTAGTGCCAACGCCCATTAGCTCATCAGATGTTGTAAAACGGCACTTCCTTCCATTTTTATTATCTGGACTACTTTATACGAGAGAAAATTTCCCTTATCTACCCAGTAGAAGAGTTTGTATCAGAAAGGAGCCATTAATGCTAGATTCTTTCCCTTTACTCATCTGTCTTCAAAATAATAAGCTGGTTCACTAGCATCTTCCAACAGTGACTAATTGTTTTACGTATCATTACGCCTTAAATGTTTGATGTGTTTCAATCCACTGCAGTTATTTTTATTTTTCATGTTCAAATTTATGACAAGTGGGAGGCTCTTTGAGTTATGTTCTGAGTCCTTCTGACATGACCCTAGTGGTCTTTGAAGCTACCAACCCTTTTTTAGCCCTGGCCTGCCCCTCCTCACACTCCATCTCCTACCCCCACCCCTGCCCTCTCAGCAGTTGTTTGTTTGGGTTTTGTTTTTTTTCAGAAGACTAAAACCATGTGTTACAAACATTCTCAATTTACAATTGTCCTCATCTGAAAATGGAGATAATAATAGTGCCTACCTCACAGGTTGTTAAGAAGATTGTAAAGCACTGAAACAGTACCTGGCACAAAATAAGTGCTAGATACATAGCTATTAAATAACATCCCCTCCCTGTCACAACCCTCCACGTTTCTCAGGCACTCCACCCTTTTCTCTTTCCCTCCAGTGTCAGAGTATAACTTCCCTTCCCTGACTATCTGAGTGTAGACACATCAGTCACTCGGCTCAGGGAATGCTGCCCAATCCCACAGCGAATTCGTTTCCTTAGGGGACACTGGGAATTCTCCTCCTGCATTCCATGTGCAGAGCCTGGCAAGCCCTACCAGTACACATTGCAATCTGCTCCCAAAGCTTTCCAGCTAAGGAACATGTCTTCTGACCCCCTGGTGAGTTAACACACCTGTCAGTCTCCTAGTGTGAGAGCTGCGAACATTGACTTCAACTGTCCTAACAAGTTGACGGAACCGCATGCAGCCAAGTTTCCTTCTGCCCCAAGGCTCCTGAGGCCCCGAGAGTGTGTGTGGCTGCCCAGACTAGACAGGCTCAGGACTGACAGGTGTGCCCTTTCTGGAGGCGCCAGCTCCCTGCTGCTGATGAGTCCGCAGCCTGGAATATCAGGGACCTCTGGGCCTTCCTATTCGTGTTCAAAATGGCCGAAGCCAGTATAGTCCAGTCAGATAAAGGAAAAAGTGGGCACCAAAGAGGAGGTAAAATCTAAAAGGGTCTGGCTGCCTGAAAGAAGTTTGTCACGGGTCTGCAGCAAACCCGCCTCCACTTGGCTCAGAGGGTCCTCAGCACTCTTGCTCTGAAGAGACAGGAATGTCGGGGACGTGTTGTCTAACCGCCATCATGGCTTTCCTTGTTTACCTCTGGAGCCTGGGAAGAGGACGCAGGAGCACAGCAGGCCTGGGAAGTGTCTGGCAAATCTTGAGCTCGGCTTCTTCCCACCTCCTTTCCTAAAGCCCATTCCCTACCTCTGTCCCCTGCTAACCCCAATTCTGACCCTCTCTCATGACCAGCTGCAGAAAGGAAAGAAAATCTCTTGGCTCCGAGATGACATCCGGAGAACCCAAGGCAAGCCTCAAGAATGCCTACCCGTCTGCTAAGAGGCTGCTGCCCAAGGCGGAGGAGGAGGAGGAGGAGGAGGACTACTGTACCCCCGGAGCCTTCGCGCTGGAGCGTCTCTTCTGGAAGGGCAGTCCCCAGTACACCCACGTCAATGAGGTCTGGCCAAAGCTCTACATTGGGGATGAGTAAGTACCTAGGCTGAGCCCAGGGGAAGGCAGCCCTCCCAGGTCACACCCCTGGTCACCTCCTCACCAGAGATTTTGCTTTTTAGGTTAGTTGTTCCATGAGAACTCTAACAGTTAGGGCTGGGTTTATATTCATATTACAGAAAACTCAGAAAGGGGGCTGAAGCAAGATAGAGGTTGATTTTTCTCTCACAGGAAAGAAGTCCAGAGGAAGGCAAGCTGGGGCAGGCATGGGGTCGCCAGGGGCATCAGGGACTCAGGCTCCAGTGCTGCTCCACCACCCTGAGGGTGTGGCTTTCTTCTTCAAGGCTGCTGCATGACCGAGATTCCTGATAGGGCTCCAGCCATCATCTGTAGGATCTAGACTGCGGGAAGGTAGAGGGAAAGTAAGGGCAAAAGAGCATCTAATCGAAGGAAAGTCCCACCCAAGACTTCCCCTGTCCCTAGCTGCAAGGGAGGCTGGGAAATGTAGTCTTTTATTTTAGCTGGTTATAATACCAGCAAGAATAAGGTCACTTCTCAGGTTGATGGCATAGGAGCACATCAGCCTATGTGCTGAGAAGCTCCTATGATAAATAATATTAATAATAATGCTTATGACTTATTGACTACTATGTGCCAGGCACTATGCTAAGCATCTTGCATGCATGATCTCATTTTATTTTCACTAAAATCCAGTGAAAGATGCACCTAATTATTCCCATTTTAAAGATAAGGAAACTGAGGCACACAGCAGTTAATTAACTGGCCCAAGGTCTACAGCCCAGTAGGTGGCAGAGAGCTGGGATTCAAATGTAGTTTTGCCCAACCCAGACACTTCTATCTAAACTCCTCCCTCCCTCCCTCAGCATTCCAGTTCTTAGTCTATCTCTCCAGGGAGCAGATGAAGCAGGGCTTTTGCCCGTGTAATTTCATACACACCTTGCTGCTTAAAACCTAAAGATATCTGTCTCATCATGGGAAATCCAGGGGCAGCCTCCTTTGTCGGGGTTTTTTTTCTTAATATTTTAAAATTGAAAATGTTACAAAAATTGCATGCCCTTTTATATTAAGTTAAACTAAGTAGAGGATTATAAAAAACAAACTGAATAATCTTCCTTTGCTCTTTCTCAATTCTACCATGGAGTAACCAGTATTATGTTTACTTGCATACTTCTACTACTTTATGTGTACTATTGCAAACATACGGAAACATATACACACATATAAAGGGTTTTTGTTTCTTTTAAACAATTTTTAGAAAAAAAGAATCACTATACACACACACACACACACACACACACACACACTATTCTGCACTTTTAATATTCCGTAGTATAGTTGTACCACCATTTATCAAATTGTTTCCCAGTTGTGAATACGAGGGGAACCTAGGTGAGGGGTATATAGGGACTTTCTGGACTATTTTCTTTTTTTTTAATAATAGCTTTATTGAGATATAAGTCACATACTTTAAAATTCACCTGTTTAAAGTATATAATTCAGTGGTTTTATTATATTCACAGAGTTGTGCAACTATCACCGCTATCTAATATCAAAGCATTTTCATCACCTCCAAAGGAAACCCCAAATGCATTAGTAATCTCTCCATATTCCCCACCTTCCTCCAATCTTAGGCAACCACCATTCTGCTTTCTGTCTCTAAGGATTTATCTATTCTGGACATTTCCTATAAATGGAATAATAATATTTGGTCTTTTGTGACCAGCTTCTTTGACTTAGTGTAATGTTTTCAAGGTTCATATGAGTTGTAGCATGTGTCAGTATTTTATCTTTTTTCATGGCCAAATAATCTCTGTGTTATTTTTGCAATTTTTCTGTAAGTCTAAAATTAGTTAAAAATAAAACATGTACACATATATTTTGACCCCAAATATTACTTTAAAAACATAATTTACAGAAATAAGAGTACCAATACATAAGGAAATATATACAACAATGTTTAACAGTTTGAAGTAGCAAAAAAGGGGGGGTTATCTGAACCTCTTGCTTTTAATAATAAAGTCTTAAATAAATGTAATAAATATATGGTGTTCCTATTATAAAGGTAATAGATGCTCAGTGTATAAATATATAAATCTTAGTTTTCCTATTTGTAATAGGTTAACAAGAGAATCTTCCTCATAGGGTTGAGTGGATTAAGTGAGATAATATATGTAAAATATCAGTGCAGTTTCTAATACATAGTAAGTATTCAATAAAGTTAGCTATGATAATAAAATAGTGGTTCATCTAAGATAGAAAAACTTTAAAATTTCCCAAAATAATCACCAAAGCCCATTACTCCAAAGCTACTCCTGTGAATATTTTAGTATATTTCCTCCTAGGTATCTGTATATTATTTGGGGTTTTAAAATTTGCTTTTACATAGTTGTAGCCATGTTGATTATTCATTTTTGACTTTTTTCACATAGCATCATTCATAAACTTTTTCCTTATTACATACTTCTCATTCATTTAATTATAATATAATATTAATATTATTATAACATTAATTATAATATATTATATAATATAGTAATATATTAGATGACTATAAGATCATTTATTTAACCACTTCCCTGTTATTAAACATATTGGTTATTTCCATATTCTCACTTTTATAAATAATCTGCCATGGACATCTTTATGCATAATTTTTTTTTCATATTTAGGATTATTTCTTTAGATCTGACCCTAAAAATGGTATACCTGGGGGAAGGGGGATTAAGATTTTTTAAAACTTACACTGTCTCTGTGTCTTTATGCTGTTCCCTTTGCCTAAAATGCCTTTCCCTTCACCTCATCTCTGTGTCCAGATCCTATGCACTTAAAGTCCACTTAAGTTGTTTCTGCCATGAAGCTAGCTTTCCTCAGTCCCCATAGTGAGAAGTAAGTTTTTTCTCTCTGTACATTATATGCTATATTTACCTTTCCTATAGCTTATAATAGAAATAATAGCTAAGTTGTATTGAATTTTTACCATGTGCTGTGCCCTGTGCTAGGCATCAATTAAACTCTACAACAACCCTAGGAAGGAGGTACCATTTATCACTCCTATTTTACAAATGGGCAAAGCAAGGCTCAGAGAGTTCATCCATTTAGTCAGTCAGTCAGTCAGTCAGTCAGTCAGTCAGTATTTACTGGCACCTTACTATGAGCTGTGGAGGATATGAAGAGAAATTAAGTGACCAGCCCAAGGTCATACCACCAATGAGTGATAGAATCTATACTCAAACCCAAATCAGGAAATGTGGTCAGTCAGATAAAGAAGCCGTTTTACAGTTGAGGAGAAGAGATGTGTAGAAATGTAACAGGGAACAGAAAGAGAAGTGGGTGGTGGGGTGGAAGGGGTGTGGGGTTTGTGTCTTAGCTCTGCCAATTTTCAGTTGTGTGAACTTGGACAAGTTATTTTACCTCTGTTCTCCTTATAAGGCAGGAGTAATAGGGCTGGTCTCATAGGGTGAAGATTAAATGAATTAAAACAAGTGAGGTGCTGGAGTAGAAGCTGCACATAGTAATGCTCACTAAGTGTGTGGTATTATGGATCTGAGAAAGCATCACAGAAGAGGTGATTCTGGGCTTTGGAAGATGGGTAGGATTTCAACAGAATTCCAGGCAGAGGGAGCAGGAGGAGAAAAGGCATGGAGTTGAAAAGAAACAGGGTGATTTACCTGGACTATAGGGGATGAATGTGGTAGAAAGGGCACTTTCAGAAGGTCTTGGATTAAGCCAAATTCTACCACGATGTGGTCAGCTTAGACAGCAGTGCTGTAATATGACAGGAGACCCCAAAATCTCAGTGACCTACAATGACAATGGCTTATGTCCCATGCATGGGACATGTCCATGGTGGGCCCCTTCTAACTGTGCTGCATGTCCACTTTACTCCAGGACTCAGGACCTAGGCTGATGCCCACGTTCCATTGGCCAAAGCAAGTCTGTGCCAAAGCCTCACATCAGTGGGGCAGAAAAATGGAACCTACCCTAGGGAGGGGCAGCAAATACTCTAAACGGTAATACGCCGTCTCCCATGGCCACAATGTACTGCAGGTGTAGTGGCTTTGAATAGGTCCTTTTACCTTTCTGGGTCTATGTCCTCATCTCTAAAAATGGTTGCTGAGAAGAGTCAAAGAAATAATGGAATGTGAAAGCATTTTGTAAATTATAAAGTAATAGATGAAAATGTTACTATTATGGTTACTCAGTGAGAAAGAAACCTGAAAGGTAGGTCAGGGTCAGCTTGTGGAAGGCTGAATGCCAGCCAAAGGACTTTATTCAGGAAGTCACTGAGAGTGTCCGAGTGGGACAGACATGTTCTACTAACTAGAGTGACAGACAGTAGAGTTTGATGCGATAAGATATGCTTGCCTCCTTGATATCTGACCATCACCTTGCTTCCTTCCACCAAGAAAAGGTCACTGCCTTTTCAGTTCAATCCGGCTCTGCCTAATCAATCCCCCAAACACACACACACATGCAGAGTCTCCACAGTGTCTGACCCATGTTGCACAGCAAGAAGACTAAAATCTGCATTATGTGGTGCTTGTCCCCATCTCTGTTCAGGGTCCCTCCTAATCACCCACTTAACAAGGTTCATGAGACCCACAGATGCTTAGGGAGAAAGCAATCTGCCAACACAACCACGCAGAGGTTATAACCCGGCTGAGAGCAGGCATGGTGGCCTGTGTTCCTTGGTGTCTTTACAGGTGTTGTCTAAAACATCCAAAAGCTTAGAGCTGGCTCCTTGGGCATAAAGCCTTTATGCACAGTTTTAATTTGATATTTGCATTTAGGTTGAGTTTTTCCTTTCCCTGAAAGCACCTAAGATTTCTGAGCGCCGAGTATCAAGGCTCTGGAAGCTAGGACGGTCAGGACCCAGGAGTGAGGGTGGGCATCCTGGGGCAGCCAGAGCCACCTGCCGCTCCTAGAACTAAGACCAGTGATGCCTGGAGCCCACGTCGCCCCACAAAGCAGCTCACTCTTTCCTCCTCCTCTCTCCTCAAGGGCGTCTTTAAGGA